CAGCAGCCGCTGTGCCTCAGGGGCCGGGGCTGAGTGGGATCCAGCCCTGCTCCCCCCAGCCGCCCCCGGGCAGCAGCTCTGCAGCCACAGGGTTTGGGTCCAGGGACGGGTTGAGCTCTGAGCTAAAATGTGTTCCCTGCCGGAGCTCTGAGTGGGAAACCATCTGCAGCAAGGAGGTGCTCCCTTACATTCCCCCCTCCAGGGCTGCCAAGGGGGCTTCCCGCTCACCCCAGACCCTCAGCCAGGACAGGTGGTCCCTGTGCCAGGCTCGCTGCCAGGCACAGCAGGGACACCAAAGAGCCCAGCATCCCCCAGGCTCACTGTGCCGAGGGTACCTGAAGGATATAATGGCTATTTCATCTTTCCATAATTTAAACAATCTCTGAGTGAAGCCATTTGTAAAATGACTTTTTAGAGTAACCTTGGCCAATGAATTGTATCTCCACGCATTTTCTTTGGTTCACACAATGGCATTTTAGAAGGGACTAATGCAAACATTTTTATTTAGAATGTATTTGTCAGTATTTAAATATCAATACAGTTTTTGCAATAGTTATCAAGAGTCCCCAGTACCAGGAGAAAATAACACATAGCCACATGCTTGGCTATGTTCAGAGCTTTAGCAAGCCTCTCCATCTCTTAGCTCAACATGCAGGGGTGGTAGGTGTCGGTACAATCTAATAAATACAAAATAAAGCAAACATCAGAAGAGATGTTTCTCTGTCGGCCTGGACGTGCCTACTGGGGAACCACGGCCTCCTCCTGCCATGCCAAAACCCTGGGGTGAGAACGGTTGTCTGGACTGGGATGCAGAGCAAGGAACACACGGCTGTCAGAGCAGCAGTGTCACGAGCCCTGGGGGAGAGCGTCCCTGGCAGCCGCTGACTGCTCAGAGCAGGTGGTCCCGGCTGCTGCCTGGCGATGCCCGGGACCGCGGCCTCAGACAGCAAGCCCTGCATCCATCCCTTGTGCCAGCTGCAGGTCAGTGTCAGTCCCAAGGCCCCCAGTGAAGGCCCCGTCTAACCACGCCGATTTAAATGTAATTTGCCTTCTGGCAAAGCCCAGGAGCAGTAATGAGATTGACACATTCCTCCTACCATCTTCAGGAAAAAAGTGAGTCATGCTACTAACTGAATTATAAAATCACTTAAATAACATTAAATAAAAAAAAGAAGACATTTTCAGGTACTTGCAGGCAGGGCCTTTCCTCCCCATCTGTCGTGGTCCTACTCCACCACAAACTGCTCCGTGCACCCAGGGCAGGCAAACCTGAATTCAGATGGCGCTCCCAGGGTTAGCCGTGTACCCCTGCCAGTCTGGGGGAGGAGGAACACGTTTCTGTGCTGCTCAGCCATGGTATTTAACCTGGGAGCCTGAAGGACAAAACCAATAATATATGAAATAATGAACCTCTCCCAAAATAATAGCTCTGTACAGCCCTAGGAACGATCCTTGGCCAGCATAAACTAGAGGCTACAGAGGGAGACGCGGCCAGAGGGGAGAGCTCCCCTGCGATCGCGGCTGTGCTGATGGAGGGCGGCTGTTTGGCTGAGAAGTTTTGATCTCCCTTCAAGCGAGGGTGGGAGCTCTCCCTGTGTCCGCTTACTGTAATGCAGCACAGCCTGCATTCTGAGCAAATACTGCTGAAGGCCGAAATATTTGGGAGCTGCTGTTCAGACAGCTAATGACCAGAGCAAGTCCTTCTCATCTAAGCTTTTGCCGATTAGAAAGGGGGGAGATCACAGTCCCCAGCTTGGCTTCCCTTGGCTCCCTCTTCCCCCTGCTCCTTGCGAGGTGCCACGCTGCGACACCACAAGCCTTGTCCCTGGGTGGGGAGCGCGGGGTCCGAGCGTGCGAGCCTGCCGCTCTCCTCGCGGGGCTCGCCAGAAACACCACGGACACACAGCGGTTGCACCCAGCGTTCACGTCAGAGACAGACTCCAGGGCTCCTACGCTGACGGAGTCAGAGGAGGGTTCGCTACACAGACTGAGCCTGGCCGGGGTTACAAATGCTGGCTGTTGCATGACATGGGACACAACTGGGACGTTAGACAGCGACTGGAGACAGCTCTGCTGCTTCATGCCAATGAGTGCTTTTTGCTGCCATGATTTCCTGCGAGAGCCCAGCCCGCTCCTGCCTTGCTGCAGGTTCAGGCGCACTGAGAGACGATGTTAGAGTTGCAGTCTAAGGTGTGAGTGTGGCTTCTTTTGCAGCTTTCGGGCCCGCAGCCAGCACCAGGTGGGCTGACCAAGTCCAGGTAGTAGGGGGACTTGAGGAAACGGCGGTAAGAATCCTTTTCCATGAGGGTGAATATTTTTCTCTGAGCCTCATCAAAGCAGGACAGTGTAGGCTCCAGCATATTGTGGCTTGTCTTCTCCCGTGTGCACGAATCCAGGTTCACCTGTGGGCCAAAGGGACAGCGTACGTATAATCTGTTCCAGAAGTGGCTGGGAAAGGCAAGGGAAAATCCAAGCGTCTCTTCACCAAGTGTGCTTAAGCTGTCCTTAACGGGCAGTGGTCTGAAATGGCTGTTGGGCACCCTGTGGCCTCGGCAGAATGTGTGCAGCTGGGTACCAGCACATCTCTGCTGCCAGACGGACTGTCAGGGCAGACTGACACACATCCCGCCAGGATGCAGCCAGCCAGGACACTCCAGCAACTGCATGGGAGCCGCCGGGACACTGGGACTTGGAGTCCTCTCGGGCTTCTCCCATTTGAGTGTGCATGTGGGATGGCCACATGGTTGTAACTAAACCTATTATCTCTCTATGCAATTTTAATATGAAAGCCATAAGAATGACACCATTTCCTTGCTAACTAGCAGAGAAGCAGCACCCTCCAGCTCTTGTGAAACTACCCATCTCTACTCCCCTGTGCTGCTGGCCTGGTTCGGAACCCAGGGTGACACTTTTGCCCAAGAAATGTTCTGTGCACATACCTCTTTTGTTGCCTGGACCGAGATGAATTCATCATAGATCTTTCTGGCCTTGGGGCTGAGCTTAGCTGGTGACTTGATTTTCTTGTAGTCCTCACAACTGACCCAGAACTCGATGTTTTCCTCACTGTACTCAGATTTGAGGAAAGCGCGGAAAGCAGCCAGTCCTCCTACAGATTGTTCAGAGGAAAACCAGATCAGGTAAGAGTGTTGGTGCCTGGATAGTCGCACCCATGAACCCCAGAGCCTCAGCACACAGCAGTTCTGGGTTCTCCTTCCCAGAGCTGAAGGAGCAGCTCCCCTGGGGCTGGCAGCGGGGACAACTGCCAGCCTCCGCGAGGGAGGCTGGAATTCAGACAGGCCCCATGAGGACGTCACACGTGGGTCTGCAGCTGCCTGCTCCCCTGCTGTGACCTTCAGTGGCTCAGCCAGCAGAACACAAGCAACTCGCACGTTCCCAGGAGGCCCCGAGGAGACAGCCAACACACGCCGCAGAGTCTCCGGCCATGGGAAAAACACAAAGGAAGCATCAAGGACATCAGCGTAGCCTGGAACCGATGGGAAGACAAAGTCTCCCATGGGCTCAGCTGCAAATGGTTTCTCCACTTTCTGGTTCTGGTTTAACCTGCTGTTAACTGCGTGCTGCAGTCTTGCCCTCCCCTTGCAGAGGGGCTGAACCAGCTGCCTTCACAACAGGGACAGCTCAGCAGCAGGTCAAAGCCTCGCTCACGATACATTGGGATTGCCCCTTGGATCTGACTAGAAGCACCCTTCACCAGGCCTCCCAGAGGCCTGTGTGGTCAAAGGAGCTGCCACGTGCTGCTAAGAGATGTAAGATGATGACCCATGCCCCATCCAGGGGCTGCTCGCTACACACACCCCAGACAGCACCCCCAACACCTCCAACGAAAGGGCCCCCTTCACTTACTGTCATGGTGGATCAAGTTGTCCAAAGAGTCTGCCCACTTTCTGACTTCCTCTTGGCTAACCCTAAAAGGAGACAAAGGGAGAAATAGGGGGAAGATTTAAGGGGAGTACAGAAAGGACAAATTTGGTTTCTAGCTCAGCACCATTAGAAAATGTTCTTCCCTGATTGTTGTAAGAGTATACACGAGAGACCAAGAAGGAAATGTCTGATTGCTTTACAAAGATCCCTGGGGATCCCAGACCTCATCTACAGAAATTCCAGTTTGCAATCCCCATCATCAGCCATGGGCTGGAAAGGAATTTTCCTGTAGAAATTGTTGGGGACTTTGTGTTTATTTTGTGACTCACTGTGCTGGGGCACGGACCTGGGATTACTCTTACAGGTCACATCAGTGAACTTCAAAGGGTCGATTTCTTTAACCCATCAGGGGAACAGTAACTAGATGGAAGAGTCAGGAACATGGGAGCTAGAAACACATGTGGAATATGGGACAAATCCTGCATTCATTGCCCCCACCACACCAGAACATCCTAAGGCTCATCTATTGCAGGAGCATACCTCTGCCTTTGGAGTCCTGCTTGGAAAGGACACCGTCTACTTGCGCCTCAGTGAGAGCAGCGATACCCTGACAGGCTGTGCTCTCTGTTTTCTGTGCCAATACCTCTGTGCAGCTGTGTGGATCATTGCACAAATCCAGGCCAGAGACACAGTGATGCTGATTGTGCAATGTGTCAGGTCTCACTGGGTCTTGTGATGGCGTTATTCCCTTGTGCAGGAGACTGCACAAGTCTTTTCATGTGCACATGCACATTGAGTCACAGAAGCGTGGGCAGAAAGGGATCTCTAGTTCAACCTTCCTCACAGGAAGGGACTAGCAATACCTGAGGGCTATTGCCACACTAGACTCAAACGCGCAGGTGCTCAGGAGCTACTGGGAAACAGCAGCAGGAACACTAATGAAGTTCAGCTCAGCGAAGGAGTAAACAACATTTCGCAGCCAGACCGGGCTTAACTACATGGCAGTATCTGCTCTTACCTCTGGCTTGAAGATGTTTTCTCCTTCTTGCCCTGGGAAGAGCTGTAGTCACAGGAGTCTGATTTCTGCAGCAAGAAGCCCAGACGATGCTTCATGTCTTTGGCGCTGAAAGGAAAGATTCAAGAACGAGATGAAGATGATGTGACGCAACTCCCTCTGCAGCCTCCTCACCCGCAGTGAGCTCCTTCAGCATTACTCAGTGACACAAATGCAGGTCACTGCTAGTGGCTCCAGTGCTGACTCTCCACCCCTCACATAATCCACATTTCTGTTGCTAGACAAACACAACAAAGAAGTAATTTTTCACTTTCAACAGCACCATTTTCTTGCCGAGAGGGTCATCAGCCTGGAAGCAGGGCTGGCAAAGGGGGAGAAGCTGCTGTTTTCCTGCTGTTTGTTTGCAGTTCAAATATTGTGATAGAAAGGCATCACCGTGCTGTAAATGTGTGACTTGTCCCTGAGCCGATTTGCCCAGCGCCCAGTGTCTGGTTCTTGCACCCTCACTAATCCTGTCCCGCAGCCCTCGCCACCTCCCCACGGCATCACCCAGCTACAGGAGCAGCGGGGCTGGGCCAGGCCACCCCACCAAGCAGCTGCCCCAACACAGAGGGAAGGGGAGGACGCGCAGGGCTCGGAACAGGACTGTGGGGTGTCACCGGGGGACGAGCCAGGAGCTGCACCACAACCAGCCGCTCCCTTGCTTCGCAGCAAGCTCCTACGAGGATGCCTGCTTAATTTTGTTCTGCTTTCCATCGTGCTCAGCACAATCATTGCCTGACAGCAGCTTCCAGATACGCAGCTGGTATCAGCCTCAGCGCCTCTCTGGATTTTCTTCCAGTTCAAGAACTAGGGGGCAGGTAAATCAGCCCTGCTTGCTCAGAGGTGCAAGCCCTGGCCTGCCGCAGCGTGCAGCGATAGCATAAAGCAGGAAATTCTCCTCCTGCTCCTCAGATCAGAGCCTGGAAAAGAGCAAGAGGTTGTGCCGCAGGGCTGAGGTCCAGCAGCCACTCAGCCTCCCAGCACTGCTCTTTGCTCCAGCCACAGCACCCCGTCAGCACTCCCAGCCATATCTTCTCTCACCGCTTGCTCGTGCCCATAAACGTTTCCTTAACGACCCCGGCACTGGGGTGAGAGCGCAGGAAGCTCGTAGCTTCGTTAGGGCAGGGTGCGTGTGACCAGAGCCAACGCTGCCAGATTGCTGCTTCCCAGAAGAAGACTACGGCTCTGTTCCCCAGGAAGGCGGCAGCGGGAGGGAACAAGACACTGCTGCTTGCAGCGAGGCCTGCAGCTTTCTGGGAGAGAGGGAATTTTTGGGGAATCCTGGACAGAAGTGGTTAAGAGATGTGAAGTTTTTTCTCCTTGGATTTTTTCAAGTGTTCTTTTTTTGTTTCCCTCCCCCTCACCAAATATTCCTGCGAATTGTAGGGGAGAGTGCCAATATTTTTTCCTCACATTTTCAGTACTTGTTTTCAAATCCACCACGAGTGGGGAGATTTTTCTCCTGGATGGAAGCAGGCTGAGCCTCATCCCAACCCTCTCCTGTTGCACAGCCCCTGTGGAGCAGCCTCGGGAGTGCTCCTGAAGGTGTGAGCGGCCAGAAAGGTAGCGCCGGCCATCAGAGACCTGTGCAAATCTGTGTGGGCTGGATGAGCAGGGAGTTTTGTGGGGTCAGTGCCCTTCTGGGGACCTGGACCACCCTGCTGGGGGTCTCCAGGCCCCATCACACCTGAAAGGGGTAAACACCCCTCCACAGAATCACAGAATCATTAAGGTTGGAAAAGACCTCTAAGATCATCAAGTCTAACCGTCCAGGTTCATGGCCACCCTGCAGGCACAGAGACCCCCACATGCTGGGCTGTGGGGCAGGCCGTGCCGCCAAGGGCACGCGTGGGGATCCACAGCCAGGTCCTGCACCCACGGCAGGGGTACGGCTCAGCCCACCCCTATCGGCACCGCACAATAGGGGTATGGCTGGCCCCATAGTGCTGTGTGGTGGGGGTACAGCCTCACCCGGACCCCACCACCAGCACACACCGCTCTAGCCGCAGCTGCATCCGGACCCACGGTGCCCTGGGCTGGCCCGCATCCCTCCCTGCTCTGCCTGGCCTGCATCCCTACCCAGCTGGCATCCCTGCCCTGCCTGGCCCACTGGCATGGGGTCTCTGGTCCTGCCCAGCCAGGTTTCTGCTTGGGATGTGTTTTGGGGAATGATACTCAATGTTTCTTGATATCCCGTCTACCTCAGAAAATTCAAGAAAAGAAAATTCAGCAGAGAAAGAGGATTCAAAGGAGAAAAAGGGTGCAAAGCTTGCGGCAGAAGCAGGTGACAGGAACATCAAAATATAGCCATGCTAAAAGCTGCTCATTTTGCTGATGGGAAGGATGGGTTTAGAGTTCCCACAGCTCTGTACAAAGGCTTTATGCAATTCTGCTTCTGACTAACAGGAAAGAAAAAAAAGACTGTAAGCAATCATTTGTATCTAGTCTTACAAAATGATCAGAGCTGAATCTGCCACTTCAGCTTCAGACACAAAGTGCAACACATCAGGGTATCTCCAGACTAATGAGACCATTAACAGACGCTCGGAAATAAACAGTACCTTTTTAAGCAAGTGGCTGGCAGCGCGGCGAGTCCCTTGCACATCTTGCTCCCGATGTCGGCTCTGTATTCCAGGAAAAACAACAACGCAGGAGGCGGCAGAGGCGGCGTGCGGGTCCTTCGCCTTCTGCAGAATTCACCTTTTCACACGCTCGAGAGGAAGAGGGTGACGTAGGAGCCCAGACAAAGGAGTGAGTGGGACTGAAAACCTTACCAGAGATGAAGCTCGGTGTCTGGCTGCAGAGGTGGATGCTTTTCAGAGGGTGGAAAAAGCTTCAGGGGCTTTCCTCTATTGCGAAAGGTGGAATGGTGCAGATAAAAGCCGGAGGAGATTTTCAGAGGGGCACAGACAGTAAAAAGGGTCAGAGAGTCAATTCTGAGAAGTGAGATGAGCTTTGCTGGTTCCTCTGTTCATTTTTTCCCTTCTATTTAAAGCAACTTGGGGAAAACAAGGGACAAGAATTTTAAACACGAAAGGTTCCCACAATCCCAACAAACGCAGAAACCAAAGCTCTAAGGAGCGAAGAGTGTAAATTCACCAGGGAACTACCCAGGCAGATGAGACTCTCCTGTATTATTCTAGAGGCATGTGGATATAAGCCTTTGGTGAGGCTGGGAAAAATGTTCTGAAGGGTATATCGTTATCAGGATACAAAATGTGTGTGTCCTAGCACACACATATTTGGGGACAGCTCATGTAGGAAGAGACAGACAAGAGGCTGACTGCATGGCTGCCTTAGATATATGGGTATCATGGCAACACCTTGCTTCTCCCTCTGCATTTGGCCCTGATCAAAAGCCAGACCTTGGGGCTCAGGAGTCCCTGAGTCACCAAGAGAAGATGATTAATGAAAATGATAGGCATAACGGTGCCTGCCCAGAGAGGGCTTTGTGGCAGTGTTGAGACTGCTCTGTGCTAAAGGATGGACCCGTGAAACACCTGGCTGCAGCGATGTTTGGTGGTGACTGCACTGCCTGGCTTTGCTGCAGTCCCAAGGGAGAGTAGAATGACTCCATCTACATCACTTGTCCGCAGCCCTTGGAGGGTGCAGAAGGCAGTTGCCCCTCTGGAGAGAGAGAATGGGCTGATATTTATTGAGTCGCGGCTCAGCACAGCCTATGCCATCGTTATAAAAGAGGGGAAACCTTTGGACAGATGGACGTGCATATGGGCTGATGCACTTCAGGTCTTGCTCCTGCTGTGAAACAAATAAGCCTCTGTTCAGTAGCGGGCTGTCGGCCCACGCTACCCACTGCTGCGTTCACTCTCCCCCGAAACCTTTAAATGCTTTGCCCACAACCTGCAGAAGTTGCAGGGTCAGCTTTTCCCTCCTGCATCTCTAGAGCACACAGCCAGCAGCACAGACAACCCAGATCCCAGACTAGTTTACCTGCCTTGGCTCACTGCATCCTCTCAGATCATTAACCATGTTGAAAGGCAATGCTCTAATTGACTTTAAAATGCTTTTATACAAACACAGCTATCCTGCTGGCAAACCTGAGGCAACATGCTTGCAAGTCCTGCACTGTTCGGACTGAAAATCAGCTCCAGCACAGGGCAGTGTAAAATTTTAACGGAGTGAATCCCCTTGTGCTTTTAGTGTTGGTGGGTTGACAGCACTTGGGTCTGTAGGAAGAGACTGAGCGCTGGCAGAGTTGGTGCCAAAGCTCTCTGATGTCTTCTGTTTGGGGAGGAGAGAAGCCAAAGAGTGGAATATGGCCACCGAGAAAAAATGTTAATAATTAATTGCTAAATATTTAATTTAATTAATTTAGTCTCAAACTTGTGCAATGTTACTGCTGTTCGTGTGCAACTGCAGCACATTCATTCAAGCAATTCAAGAGCTCAGCTGGCCAAGATGGTCAAGGTATCTGCAAGCTCTAACCCTGGCAGCCTGAGCCTGACCTCCCAGCTCAGGAAGGTCCCAAAGGCTGCTTGCAAGGGTAGGGATCCTCTGTGCAGAACACAGAAATTCTGCAGTTTCTCTGCAAATTGGCATGTAACCAGATTTAGGAACGTCATGCTTCTCTGTGGATTGTAGGTATGACACTCGAATGCTGGCATTGTCAACATCAAGTCACCTTCTGCATTCTCCAACTTGTCTGTGAGCAGCCTGTAATAAGAAATTTCTAACACTGCCATCACAACAGCCCACCCAAAGGGCTTTGCAATTACAGCCATCCTCCCTGGGCTGGGTATGCAGATTCCTGGAACAGCTGCTGTTGAAATTTCCTGTTTTCCAGTTCATTAACACAGACTGGTTCAGTCTGGCTGCCATGCGAGGAGTTTGGGTTTGCACAGTGTCTCCCCCAAGCTGTGTTTCCCAGCTGCTGCAGTTTCACATCCTCTCAGCTGCTCCAGCTGGTCCCCAAAGTACCCGCTTCCACCTCTCACCCTTCAGAGTCAGTCCTCTTCTCCCAGGGCACAGACCAAAACCTCCTCCTGCTCCTCCCTGCCAGTTAGAGAAGGGGCAGCTCACTCCGCTTTGCACGCCTGTCACATCACCTCTGGCTCGCCTCACCTGCGGCATGGAGAAACCAGCAGTGAGGATGGGCTGGGGGTGGGGGGTCCCTGGCCAACACATCTCTTGGCCCTGTGGCGCTTTGGAGGCACCCAGGGGCTCCTCGCAGGAGACAGCACGATGGTAAACGTCTGTGGTTCCCAGTGTGGCATCCCACTCATCCCTGCTGCATCCTCTGCCCTGCCTCCCCGAGGAGCTGGAGACATGCTCTGAAACGGAGCTTTCCCTCCCACCGTCACGGCCAGGGAGAAGCGTCACCCCGGCCTGCTCAGCCCCGTACACAATCGCGCGCGGGATGTGTCCCTCGGCTGAGCCGCAGCCCGGCGGCAGGGACCACGGGGAACGCCGCTGCGGTGGTCGCTGCCCAGAGCAGTGGAGAGAGAAGGGCACGCCATGGCAGCCGTGAGGACGTGCTGCAGGGCCAGAGCTGCTTCTGTCACTGCTGCCTTCCCAGGCCCATCCCGCAGAGGCTAACAGCGGCCCACTCCTCCTCCTCCTCACATCTCGCAAAGCCAGCCAGGCACCTTGAGACCCAGCTAGCAAATCACCCATCTTTCTCACGGGCATCCCCATCCCCGTGCACGTCTGGCCCCCTATCTGCGCTTCAGACAGCGCTGGTGAGGAGCCGGGGCAGCTGCCACCCCCCGCAGAAGCACTAACCAGGGTGGCCCTGGTCCCCCAGCCCCAGCACGCAGAA